CTAAACGACAACCAGATTCCACAGTTCGAATCCTACCAAATTTGGCAATGTATGGATGTCTCCTACATAAGCAGGCGCTCTGCTAGTTTAACTCCCAGCATGTGAATTCAGGTATTCAAGACAGATTTCGAATCTGCACACTTAGTCTAAAAAGAATTCAGAAATGATAAGCAAAAACTAACAAGAAGATTGTATCACTGCTAATTGTAATCCCTTCTCACATTTAGTTTTCAAAACATCGATGAAAAGTACAGTTAGCATAACTCAAAGCTCCCACGGGTTACAGTGGACAACACATATGTCTTCTATTTTCACTGTATCTAGGTCAGCAGCACTCTGGTATTTAATACCTAAGGTTAATCCATTTAACTTCTCTCTTGAATAGGTTATACCACACTGTAACTTTTTATTTGATCATTTCCTTAAGTCTAAACCTCTTCCTCTGTCTCTGTCTCTGTCTCTCTCTCTCTGTCTCTCTCTCTGTCTCCCTCTCTCTCTCTCTATCTCTCTCTCTCTCTCTCTCCCTCTCATTCTCTCTCTCTCTCTGTCTTCAGTTTACATTTTCAATCCCCTGCTTCAGTGCAGAAAAGAACAAAGAACTTTTGGCAAATGCTTTCTTCTCCCTAAAGATGATCTTGGTTCAGGGCAGAAGACCAAATAAAAAAACCCACTAGATAAAGTATAGAAAGCATTTTTCCAGGTATATCTGGGTTCACCTCCCAGAGCTAAGAAGTAGCTCTTACCCCAGCTGCTAGTTTCCTACTGCAAAACAGAAAGGAGTAAAAACCTTTAGATTTGTTTTGACACCATCAGCTCAGGTAGACCTCCTCAAGTAGGTGTTTTCTGTCCTATCGCAGTATCTGACCTCCTGAGAAGCAAAACGGTAATAACAATGATCCCACTCACCAGTCCTTGTATGGCTTTGAGACAGGGCTGTTCACTGGGAGGCAAGGATGCTCTTTTCCTTCTCTTCAGGAGCTTAGAAAGACATCCCTTTGTCCCCTAGGCCAGCACCCTAGCCTGAAAGCTCATGGGGTGTGGATAAGACCTGGAGAGTCAGGGCAGTTTTAACCAGCCATCGCGGCCAGCAGAGAGAGTCATCACTGGGTCATAGCTGCATCTATCATGAAAAAGTTATTTCAGCGCTTGTACACCCGCACTTGGCCCTCTCCTATGCCCACATGCTTCAGATATCAATCAGAGATAAGTTCTCCTGCCAGAACCCAGTAATCACACTGCTAGATCTGTGTGCAGGTCCTGAATACTTTACGCTAATCTTTACTGACCTGGTGACTTTGTGACCTGGAAAAACACGCAGACACACATTCACTTAGGAGCCTTCCCTGTTTGCAGTGGACTTCAGCAATTGTCAACATACATACAGCAAGGAAACAGAGTGGCATCCACCAATGAGGGAGAGCTTTACAATGGGAGGAGGATGGCATGATTTTCTTTTTCTTTCTTTCTTTCTTTCTTTCTTTCTTTCTTTCTTTCTTTCTTTCTTTCTTTCTTTTTCTTTCCTTTCTCTTTCTTTCTTTTGCTTTCTTCTTTTTTTCTTTTGTTCACTTGATCAAGAACAACCTTGGATGTAGCTTAGGGTGGTAACAAGGAGGGTTCTGTTTGCAATCATCTGTCTGCAGTCTGAAGCAGCTAAGCCCAGCCAGCCTGCTTGCCCGGTGAGTTACGCATACAGGGCAGCACAAACAGCCCCCAGGAATTCATTCTGTGGGCCCACACCTTGGCGTTGAGCAACGCCAGGGCTCCCATGCTGACTCTGGGGAGTGGAGAGGGGAGGTGTCTTAGAAACGTGGAGGAAATATTTGAAGGAGGGCACCCCCCCCTCCAGCCTCACACCTGCAGGAAAATCAGAGCCCAGGACAAACTCACTCTCCACCTGTTGATTTATGTACTCGCGCCCGCCCTTTCTGTGTCAGCTGATGATTTCATGAAGATGTACAAATAAAAAGAAAAAGAGAACAAAAGAAAAACAGACGGCCTAACTCTGCACTTTCCTTTCTATGGCTCCTCTTTTACCAACAACACTGGGATTCTTTTTCATTATTGTGGGTGCCTCTGGTACGTGCAGGCACCCACATCATGAATATGTAACATAGCCATCATTAACCTCTGTCTCATTCTTTGTAGTGAGTACACCGAAGCCTGACATGTATTTGAACAGGAATTAGCATGATTCAGATATGCAGCCCCAAAACATCACCCAAAGGCAACATTTGACTTCCCAGGCTCTTCTCCATAGAATTTATTATTTCCAGAAATGTCCTATACCCGCTAGTGGTCCAAATTCCAACATGTCTCAAGAGATTGCTACGCACTGAATGCTTTAAAGTTCAAAATGAAATGTCTATAGCAATATCATATCTCTGCAGTTCTAATTCTCAGGAAAGATTTGTTCTTCTCCTCCCCTGTCCACTCCAGGGAGGGCATGGTTTGGGGAGCCCCAGGAGGGAGGGCTTGCAGAAACCAGCTTTAAGCCCTCTGCGCAGTCTGTCAGCCTCTGTGTTAGTTGTAGCTCCGAGTCCCCCAGGGGCCAGGATGCAGCATAAGGTAAAGAATGAGAAGAAGATCAGAAAGTTCTGCGCTCTAATGCCTGGTCAGGAAATGCTTTCAGCAAAGCAGAAGCTGGCCCTTCCTTGGAGTGACATTTTCTTAAAGTTCTTAGAAGTCACCCTGCAGCATTTCCCCCTGAGCAATTCCTGAGATACAAGCAGTTTCATCCCTCTCTCCCTGCCCTCACAGTGGTCCTTCTCAGCCACTAACCCTTTCCTCTTCCTCATGCTAGGACATCTTGCTGAACCAAAGTACACAGGGCGATAGGCCACGCCTCCCTTTAGACTCCATGCAGGCACAGCAGTCATCAAATCATGTAAATTCTTTGACAGATTCTAGAGGTGCAGTCTATACAAAACATTCCCCTAGCCCAGGATCCCGCATGATAGCTGCATCAGACCTAAGTGAAATACCAGGTCTTCTCTCGTTAGGTCCCCTCCCCCCACCACACCCCCAGACGGCACAACCATCATGGCAAAAATTGAAAGCTGTGCCCTGATAATGCACAGCTCCTTCTTCCCAGAAGCCCCTGTGGATTCTCCCTCCCAAAAGTCTCTGCCAAAGCTCATGCATGGAAGCTTTACCCAATCCCTTACACTCTCATGAAATAAATCAGCTCACATAACTCTCAGAGTCCTTGCCCCATCCAAGCCCTTTATCTGCAGAGAGCCACCACAGCCTTCTTGGTGGTGAATCCCTCGTGCTCTCTCATTAAACTTTCTTATCTAGTGGCCTCCTCTCTTTTAATATTCTGTGCTACTCTCGATTGAGAATGAAGTTTCCACTCCATCACCGTGCCCTAAAAAGGGCAAGATCAGATGGTAACTTCTCTCATGATAGCCTTGTGAGTGGCCCTCATGATAGCCTTGTGACTGGCCAGAGGGGAAGAGAATCACACAGCACCCACTGAAAAACGGGGGTAAGGGAACTGCTGGTTCAGAGATGTGTTCCCAAACTCCATCCTCCCTTCCTAAATAGCCCTGATGTAAGACCAAAGATCCACACAGGAGATTTCCTACATAGAATACTTTCACAGCACATCATTTCTTATGGGCATAATATTTACTACTGAAAAGAAAACCTGGAACCCAGCTAGACCAGAATCTCATCTTGATTCTGATGCTTGCTACCTGTGTGCTCTTAGAAATGTGGCTTAACCTCCTGGGGTACCAGCCTTCTTATCATAAGGAGGTAGAAGAATGCATTCCCAGTGGGGTTACTGATTAGAAATAATGGTGCAAGTCTTCAGATCTGGCCAGGAAACAGATGCTACTTTTTTGGCAATTTTCAGAGTACAGAAAATGTTTGCTTTCAGGTGTTATGAAACACATTATGTTTTGAGACCTTGAAAAACAGGGGTTTTGATCTGTGAACCAGTGCGTGTGATCCAAGCATCTGCTTGCGGTGGAAACTATCCAAAGGTTTGCATTTCCATGGTGGCAATGACCCTACCTGGGATCCGGCCTGCGTGCCTTTCTTATTTGAATTTTTACCCAGAAAGAGGCCCACATAGACACTGCTGATGGAAAATCCTAAAATCCTAAAATGCAATCCTTCTCGGTTCAGTAAGCAGAGGCCCGAGTCTCCGAGACCGAACACACAGCTAAGCCATAAGATAAGACCAAGAAGGCTTAATAATTATGGCCCAGAATCAAGGAACAAACAGTTCCATGCAAACAGTTCCATCCTGTGAGCAAAGCAAGAAGGGATTTAGGCAAGGGTTCTTCCCTGCCCATAGCAGGAAAAGGAAACCCAGGGCTGCAGAAGCCAGTGGACAGATTCCTCTTGTGTGTCACCCACAATGACACAAGCTCAGCAGGGAGGAGCACTCAACCAACCTCTACCAGGCCACGCGACTTCATCCTTGAGTTCAGAAATGGAAACACATCTGGCGCAGTTTGGAACTTCCCAGAATGGTGCTCCCCAAAGAATCTCATCATGATGGGCTGTCCCGCCCCAAGTTCAAAGAAAAGGGGTCAACTGATAAGCAACAGAAACTTCTGAAGCCATGGGCACCCCTTTTCTCCGTGTAAACTGATTTTCTCCAGTCTTTGCTATAAGGAGGAGGAACTAACACAACATGCCTTGTTGTTCTATCTTGAGTCTTGGGAAAGAAGATGGAAAATTCTGAGTAGTTTGAGCCCAAATTCTTTCGGGTATTTGTGAGTTTTAATGATTCTTTTTCCCCTTCCTCTTCTGAGCAGGGTTAATCACGTTTGCTCCTTGATCAGGTACATCTTGGAGTCTGAAGTTATAGCTTTATTATTAAACCAAAAACTGAGTCCTAGTAAATTACTTTTCTTTCAATGGCATTCTAGTTTACTCCGGGAGGAAAAAGCCATGGAAATTAATTGCCTCTAATATTCTTTCGGAGCATTTTAAATAGCCCTAGGAAACTGAGCTGAAATATATGCTTTTAAATGTTATTCCTTTCATATAACGATAACAGCCAACACATATATTCAGTTGCAATGTGCCCACAAAAGAACAACAAAAACACATTCACTGTGCCTGTCTGATCTATCTATTTTATTTAACCTGGTTTGCAACTCTCGAATCAATGCAATTGTGTATAAATACATACACACATCATATACACAAAAACCTTTCAGGTGTCTTATAACCATGTGCGTTTATCTACATACAGACCATCCCTGACATATTGTGATGGTCTATATCTAGCTGTCCCCCCAAACCCCATTCGGTCCTAGTGTGGCTTTTGGGAGGTGTCTGGATCATGTGTTTGTGATGAGTTTACAGCTAAATGTGATGTTGGAAGGTAAAGCCTGGTTGGAGGAGGTGGGTGTCTTGGTCACTTTTTACTGGTTGCTGGTACAAAATATTTGACACCCAAAATTAGGGAAGTAAAGGTTTATTTCTAAGCTATGGGGGTGAAACCTCTGCGAACAGTGTGCCCAAATAAAGCTCTCCTTAGAGTCGTGGGTATGGTGTCTCAGAGATGAGAAAACAACTGACACATGTGATAAAGTTAAAATTTTTGCAGGTTTTATGTTGTTCTTCTTGTGTTGCAATGGCACAAAAGCAAAAGACCTTCTGGAAAAATTGTACTTTGAAGACGGAGCTTTGGTCTTCTTCCAAAGGTGAGACACAGGGTACCATACTCTGACACACAGTACTGGGCAGCTCCCAGCCCGCAGCTGCACGATCACAGGCGGAAGCAACCCACACTTTGCACCGTGGTATGTTGCAAGCACTATTTGGCATCCTGTGTCTTGTGTATTTATATCCCAGCATGACTACATACTACGTGTCTGTGAGAGCACAGGAAATAGCCAATACTTTATTAGAAAATTGATTTTGCTCAACTGTTAGTAACACAAGTTCCGTCACTATGTTTAAGGCAGGTTCGAGTAAGCTATCAGGCTCAGTGGATTATGTGCAATGAATGTGTTTTTGCTTTTAATTTTTTTTGACGGGGGGAGTACCAGGAATCAAACTCACAACCTTGTACTTGGCAGGCAGGTGCTTGTGCTGCTGGGCTAAATCTTCAGCCACCTATGAGTGCATTTTTGACTTAAAATATTTTCAACTTGTAAGGGAAGTAGCAGGATAGAATTCTTTGAGCAAAACTATGAGAACTAAGTACACTAAGTTACACCTAATGACAACTGTTCTCAATTTCTTGATAGCACATACATTAATTTTTTAATACATACCATGATCTATGGTGTGTATGGGCAAATAAATGTATTTAAATTAAATTATATGTAAGGCATTTTTTTTGAGAATTGAATCCAGAGTGCTTGCACTGAACGACAATTTTGTATTTCTTATTTTGAGACAGTCTCATAAATGTGCTAAACTTTCCAAGACTGGGCTGGAATTTAAGATTCTTTTACTGCATCCTCCCAAGGAGACTAGGATTTTTTATTCCTTAAATTCACCTGCCCCAATTAAATATATATGCTACAACCTGTGTGCTTCAGGACAGATAAATTTACATGCATCCATAGCCATTCTTAAAGTCTCAACTGTTTGAGGTGCTTAAAAAGGTTCTGAATCTGTGAATTTTACAAGGCAAATCTGGGCTATTTCAGTGTGTTCCGTGTTCTGCTGAGTTGGCCACTTCCCCCCATACACACAACCCCAGATTCCTTCTGAGGGGTGACAGTTGATGGTGAGACCAAATTTGAAAATCAGAAAGGTTCCTCAGCATAAGACATACCAAGTATTTCTAAAGTGGGTGTGAAGATCTCAGCTCAATGGGAAATTAATATATATTACTATTTTTTTTCAAGAAGTCATCTGGTGGCCCCCAGTAAGGAGAGGAAAATTCCACCACCATAAACATGATCACAAGATCATAGGAGTTTTCACCTAACCTGTCCATGTAGAAGGGGATGGAATTCCTTCTGGGTTTGTGGTCTGGTTCAAACTGGAGATTAAGGATGTATAATTAGCTTTCTGCTCTTCCGCCCATAGGATTTGGGTTCAAGTGTAGTAAACAAGAAAACATTCCAGAACAAACTGCCTGAACCACCTGGTTGCAAGATAATTATCTGAACTACAGAAGGAAAAAAAAAAAACAAGGTTTTTTCTTGCCGTTCATGTCTAAGAGCTTTTGTTTTCTTCTTGCTGTTCTTTATGGGAGATTTTGTTTTCCTTACAGTGTTTTGCCCACGCTGCTAGAATACATTTTCCTTTATTTGCACAATCAATATTGTGTTTTATTCTCCTCCTACTTGCCTTTGCATGCTGTGGTTTGGAAGACCTACTACCAACAATATCAGAAAAAATTTTAAACATATAGGAAGACATAATAATAGCTCCGGAGGACACAAAATTAACTAATGTCCCACCCTGTCTTCTGTGTATTTTCAGAGGTCTGTGCTGAGGCAGACTGCCTGATTTCTTGAAGCCAGCCCCATTTTCTTATTTCTGTATAAAGTATGCACTTCCTACTTTGCAAGCTTGTGGAGAAGAGGAAACCAGAGATCATTTCTATGGAACTGAGTATTTCCGGTACTACCTGTGAGCTGAAGGCTATGATTGGTTATGAGGCAAGGAGAGAATTTTAACCACAATTGACCCACCATACTTTAATGCTGGAGACTTTAATTCGGCCCATGATCTTTGAGGTACTTCCAAAAAGCTATGGACCTGCTGCTTCAGGGCTGGAACCGGCCACCTGGGATCAGAGTCTTTCAGGGGAGCACGGAGCCCACTCGGAAGAAGGATGATGCTGGGTGGCTGTGCCCAAGCAAGTGACCAAGGAAGGAGGATTCAGAACACAGATTGCACAGCTCCTCTGCTTCCCAGCATGGAGAAGGAGACAGAAAAGATCTCCATTCGTCATGGTCATCGTGGGCACCACCGCCCATAACAGATCCTAGAGGGAGGGGGGAAAGGGAGGGAGGCCAGGAGTCGGGAAGCACGGAGGAAGACAGGAAAAGACGAGAGCAGGAAGGAGAGGGAGTGGGTGGGGGAGGAGAGGGAGAATGGAGGGAAGCAGCTGCTCGGCCTCTGAAGCCATGCAGAGCTCTGGGAACTGCATGCCGAGGCCCTGAGTCCCTAGGCAAAGGCCCGAGTCTTAACCCCGTGAAGGAGAACCCCAGGAGGCAGTGGGTGTTACAGAGCACGGTGAGGGTTCAGCACCCGCCTCACTCATTCCCTCATATATTCAGAGTGTGCTCCCTCATCTCAGAAAAAATTGAACAAAAAATATTGCCCCTGGGAAATAAGAAAGCTATCAACCTGGTACCAAAAGTTTCTTGTCATGACCTCAAATCTGCAGGTGATTATTTGTGAAGGCGTTTCTGATATCCTGTATCTCACTTGCTCAGGGTGAGTTTAGAATTTAAAGAGCAAAGCCAGGCGTGGTGGCGCACTCCTGGAATCCCAGCACTTGGGAGGCTGAGGCAGGAAGACTGACATGAGTTCCAGGCCAGCCTAAGCTACAGAAGCCACTTCAAGGCCAGCCTGCGCTACTCAGTAAGCCACTGTCTCAAAAATAAACAAATGAATAAACATAAAACTTAAATGGCATGATGGAGCCCAGTGAGAGAGTGTTTGCCTAGCAGCCCCGAGACCCTGAATCTGAGCCACCCCCAGACTGAAAAAAAGAGACAGAGATACAGGTGGGAGAGAGGAAAGGAAAGAGTAGGAGGTAAGAAAGGGGATGATGAGAGGAGAGGAAAGCAGAGAACAGAGGGGAGGGGAGGGGAGGGGAGGAGAGGAGAGGGGAGGGGAGGGGAGGGGAGAGAGGGGAGGAGAGGAGAGGGGAGAGAGGAGAGGGGAGGAGAGAAAGGAGGGAGGGGAGGAGAGGAGAGGGGAGGGGAGGAGAGGAGAGGGGAGGGTATGGGAGGGGAGGAGAGTAGAAGGGAGGAGAGGGGAGGGGAGGGGAGGGGGGAGAGGAGAGGGGAGGGGAGGGGGGAGGGGAGGGGAGAAGAGGGGAGGGGGGAAGAGAGGAGAGGGGAGGAGAGAAGAGGAGATGGGAGGAGGGGAGGGGAGGAGAGGAGGAGAGGAGAGGAGATAAGGGATAGAGAGGAGAGGAGAGGAGAGGGGAGGAGAGGAGAAGAGAGGAGAGGAGATAAGGGATAGAGAGGAGAGGATTGGAGAGGGGAGGAGAGGAGAAGAGAGGAGAGGAGATAAGGGATAGAGAGGAGAGGAGAGGTGAGGGGAGGGGAGGGGAGGGGGGAGAGGAGAGGGGAGGGGAGAAGGGGAGGGGAGGGGAGGGGAGAAGAGGAGAGGGGAGGAGAGGAGAAGGGAGGAGAGAAGAGGAGATGGGAGGAGGGGAGGGGAGGAGAGGAGGAGAGGAGAGGAGATAAGGGATAGAGAGGAGAGGAGAGGAGAGGGGAGGAGAGGAGAAGAGAGGAGAGGAGATAAGGGATAGAGAGGAGAGGAGAGGTGAGGGGAGGGGAGGAGAGGAGAGGAGAGGAGAGGAGATAAGGGATAGAGAGGAGAGGAGAGGTGAGGGGAGGGGAGGAGAGGAGAAGAGAGGGGAGGAGAGAGGAGGAGAGGGGAGTAGAGGAGAGGGGAGGAGAGGAGAGGGGAGGAGAGGGGAGGGGAGGAGACAGGGTAGAGAAGAGAGGAGAGGAGAGAAGAGGAGAGGAGAGGAGAGGGGAGGGGAGGAGAGAGGATAGAGAGGAGAGGAGAGGTGAGGGGAGGGGAGGGGAGGGGAGGGGGGAGGAGAGGGGAGGAGAGGAGAAGAGAGGAGAGAAGAGCAGAGGAGAGGAGAAGAGAGGAGACAGACGGGAGGGGAGGGGAGGGGACAGGAGCACAGGGGAGAGGAGGGCACGCTGGACAGAGAGGAGAAGAGAGAGGAGAGGTGAGGGGATAGAGAGGAGAAGAGAGGGATAGAGAGAAGAGAGGAGGGGAGTGGAGAGGAGAAGGATAGTCCTTCAGATTATACTCACATAGTAAAGAGAATCAAGAATGATGAACTCCTCCCCACCACCGCGGCACCCCAAGCAGATGTTCCTAGACCAACCCCCTGAAGAGTCAACCCCAGACAGAAAACGTGCTGAACCAGCTTGCACTGGTCCCACACAGCTCCCGGACACGCCAGCTTGGCACCGCAGGCTGGGCATACAGGTCCCTCGCTTCTCTTTGTGATCCTGGGCTGACGGCCCGGCGTGGCTTGCTGTCATTTCTCCCCGCCTCCTGGAACAGCTTTCTACCACAAGCTGCCGGGTCAGTGAAAAGTTTCCAAGTGCTCGCTGATGAACTTCAAAGATAACATGGGCGGGGAGCGGCTTAACCGGTACAAGAGAGGACAGATACACAGAGAAGCCAGAACCAAGGCAGGGAAAGTTGAGAGATCCAAAGGTGCCTGTCAGGTTAGGAGAGCCATCAAAATTCCCTCCAGGCCACACGCGTCTCAGTTTAAGCGTAGCATTAGAAACGATGCAGTGTGATGTTAAAGTTCTTTGACACCACTGTACTTGAGTTTTCTGGATCTTCTCTCTTCCAGTTTAGAATCACCAGAAAAACTATGCTATTGTGCTAAGGAGAAAACACAATCAGGGAAAACAATCTAAGTCTTCATGGGCAGGAATGCATCCTACTCCTACGAAGGATCTGCCCATATTTGGCTGTGATGGGGAATCGCGAAAGGCTGCCTTAGTCATAGCTGGGATCACCTGCGAGACCGGCACATCTCAAAGCAGGGCAGGTGTGTGTGGGCTCATTGCAGGGATTTTCAATCTGTGGTCAGCTGGCTCCAAGGTAGAAACAGCATGTTGGAAGGATCTGGCGGAGGACACCTGCTGGCCTCAAGTCAGCCAGGAAGCAGAGAGAGGAAGGAGGAGCTGGACAGGAAGGGGCCAGGGAAAAGATACAACCCCAAGGTGCACCCCAAGACCCAGCCAGACACACACAGAAGTGTGATTTCCTAATCCCTTAGGCACCTCTCAGGCCAATCCAAGTGGCAGGGAAGATTAACCATGCACAAGGACTAAAGAATAACTTGTCACTTGCATACAAATTATATCACGGGAACAGTATCATGCTTTTCCAATCCAGCTCATAACCAAGACACCTCATATATTCAGGTTTGTTTTATTTTTAAGAGAAGAGATGTCTTCCATCGCATGCACGCAAGAGATATTTCGGCAGAATGTGGGAACCGAGCCTTCACTACGGTGATGTGATTCAGGTTTTCCTGTCTGTGGCAAGCCGAATCCCAGGAGAACACTCTCTGTTCCCTCCTGAAATTGCCATGTGGTTTTGTTTCAACTGCAGTTAATTGAAATTCCCTTGCCAGTACTTTGAGTCCTGGCAAAGGGAGCAACGTGAATTCTCTCCCAAGAGTCTCCCCTGAGCTGCAATGGATACAATATGCAAGGGTAGCCCTCTCCAACTATCTCTAATCCTGGAAATCTGACGTCTCTATCATACCATACACCTCCATGGATTCGCTTATTTTTGCAGCAAGTCTGTAGGAAGCTTTGAAAGTCAAGCAGCTTCCTATGTGCTTTCTCAGGCACCAGGCACCCTTGACATGGGTGTCAATTCCAGCACACAGGTGACCACTGTGATTTTTGTTTTTCATTTTGGCATCCCTTTTGTCTCACACGTCAGCAAGGCTGTACTGTTTTGGAAGAAAGCAAAACGAACTCTCTCATCATCTGTGTATCCAGAGAACGGCAAAAGAACTAGTAATGAAAATTCTAAAGACATCAGCTAGAGCGTACCAGCACACTGTAAGAACCCCTGCAAATGTGTCTGGAATGGTATGGATCCAAAGGGATCCCCCAGAGAAGCACTGCTGGAGTTCTCAGCTGCCAGCACCTCCAAACGTGACCTTTTGCGGTCTGTATGCTGAAGGGTGGTCTTTAGGATAACCCTAACTCAACATGACAGTGTTCTTAGACAATCAAGGCAAGGACAGGACTAGATACACGTTAAAGACAATCACACACCAGCAAAGGCAGAGACCTGGAATAGATCATTTCAGACAGCCTTTCAGGGGAATTAATCCTGCAGTCATCTCAATCTAGGGCTTGTCCCCTCTACAAGTAGGAGCCAATCCCTTTTTTTTTATTTAGGTCACTCAGTTTGGGGCATGTTGCTAACAGCAGGCTCAGTAAACTAATGTGGAACCGGCTAATGGCTGCACTGGGGTGACAGTTTCCTTACAAACTTGCTCATGAACTGTCTTCCTTAAGGACCAGCATCTCTAATCGCCGGTGTGGTGGTGCATGCCTGCAATCCCAGCACTTGGGAGGCTGCAAACTAGTTTGCAAATTTGAGACCAGTCTGGGCTACAAAGTGAGCCCAAGGCCAGCCTGAACTGCATGGTGAGACCCTGTGTCAAAAAAAAAAAAAAAAAAAATCTTCTATTGCAATGGCTCTAAAAAGCCCTAACTTTATCAGACACGTACTATGCCCTGAGACCAAGCACCTACCTTGCCTAACTGTCTTTAAGAAGTTCATTTCACATGCGGAAAAACTGAGTCCTACAGCTGCCCCCTGTATCACAGACGCTAAGATGAATTTCTACACAACGCAGGGGTGTCCTCATCGGATCTCAGGGCCCTTAATCAGAAAATAGACCCCCAAAGCACCCGAGTCCCTGCAACTTCTTTATGCTAGCTTCTCCAAAGGTTGCACCTGTACGCTTAAAAGTTTGCAGGTTGTACTCTGGTAGGTGTGGAAAAATGGGAAAAATGTTTTAAAGAATAAAAAGGGAGCGGCCAGAAAGATTCAGGAAACAAGGGTAGAGCACTTTGAAGACCGCAATCATTGCAGCTCTCTCCACCACCTTTGCAATCAGGTTGGCTCAACTCAGGGCACTTGAAGCTCAGGGGTGCAGACGCAGGCTAGCCACTGCGCATGCGTAGCGAGACCTTCTCCCCCTCCCCCGCAGGCTTTGGTCCAGAGCTGCAGCGAAGCGGTGGGCAAAACGGAAATGGAAATTAGCCCGGGGCCTGGCGCCTGGGGCTTGGATGAACCATTACTAGAGGTGACCGAGATCTCTTGGCTGCAAAGTGGTGGCTCATTGTGATGCCACTTTTGAACATCTTTGCGAACTCCTATCCACTCCATAGCCCCCTTGCACCGCCCTTACGGTCGCCCTTTCCCAATTCATGAGAAAGGACTCATTAGAAACCGGTCATGTATTGTTATCTAAAATAGAGTACAGGACTAGATTCTCCAAGGCACTTCGCTGAGCCGCACAGCAAGAACATGAAAGGAAGGAGGGGTGTGGGGGTAAAACCCAGCAGACGCCTATTTGGCGCCTCCCGCGACTTATTTCTGCTCAGCTCTGTGGCTCCCACCAAAAACGGACCAAAACCCAACGACGCGCGTGCGTAGCTTTGCCGGGTACGCGCGGGAATACCAACGGCGAGGAGTGCGCGTGCGCAGCGCGTTGCGGGGGCGCACAGAGAGACACCCGTGGAGCGCGCATACGCCGCGCTGGGTAAGGTGCGCGTGCGCATGTCGGGTTTGCGGAAGAACGGGCGAGCGCGTAGCGTCATTGTGGAAGACTGCGCGTGCGCAAAACTGTAGGAGGGGGCTGCGGGTGCGCGCGCCTCTTCCCCGCCCCCACCGCAGCAGAGCTCCGGCATCATGGCGGCGCCCGCGCCCGCGCCCGCGCCCCCACCGCGGCGTGCCACTCACCTCATCTTTGACATGGACGGTCTGCTTCTGGGTGGGTAGTCCCCGGTGACGGCGTTCCCGGGAGGGCGCGAGATAGGGGATGTGGGCGTTCAGGACTGGGGGGCCGCGGAGGGGCGGCATCCCAGAGCGCCCGCGGTTCCATGTCCCCGCCAGCCGGTGGATGTGGCCTCTACGCGGCCCCGGCACCCGCTTCCGGTGGGGCCGCAGCGCTTGAGGGCGCTGTCCCCGGAGACCACCGTGCACAGCCGGGCACCAGTGCCGCCTCCTCCCCTTCCCCCCTCCCCCTCCTTCTCTCCCCCAACTTTTCTCCGCGCTCACCGTGGTTCGCTCCTTTTCCGCCACCTCGGGGGACCACTGCGATCCGTGCACTGCCTCAGTTTCCCCAGCTGCAAAATACAGTCAGGGGTACCTGCCCGCTGGCTCCATGGCTGCTACAGGGGGCGGACGCGGGTTGCTGCATCCTTTGCTGAGAGGGTTCTTCTCAGTTGACCTTAGCATCCCTGCTGCAGACTTGGCCTCCCTCCTGGGAACGCAAGATTGGAAACATTGTCAGGGTCACAGCTGGACTCAGGAGGTGGGGTTACTGCCAAAGTAGGGAAGTCCGAGTGTTTGCAAAATTCAGCCCTGGAACAAGCCGCGAGCAGAATTCAGCCAGTCCTAGAAGGGCAGAAATTGAGAAACCCTTGCTTAGTTTTAGCCCAAAGGACACCCCATCCCCAAACCTGCAGAGTCCAAATCTGCGTTGGAATCCAAGTGTCTGAAAGTTTGAGAAACACTGATCTCTACGGATTCCTAGTGATGTACCCCACAGCTCAATCACTTCTAGCAGGAAAGTACTTTACCAGAAAAAGGGATCCACGCAGAATTCAAAGAATTAAAGACACTCAGTTGAAAAACTCCTGAGACAAAAGTGTTGATCTCGGCCCAAACCCTCTACAGAATAAATGCACCAAAACATATGTTCTAAGGTCCGCTCTAGTGGAAGGCTTCCTGAATCTATAAACAAGACTCCCTTGTTTATAGACTGTTGACATGATTGTGATTGCTTCATCTGGTACAACCCAGCTAGGTAGGAGGAAATATTTTTACTTGACCAATTAAAAACAAAAGATTGCGACTCTAGGAGAGTTTGTAAAGCTGTTTGTCCAAAGTCTAGCACTTAATGAGGAAGATAGTGTAGAAGTGATTCTAAACCCATTTAGAGCTAAGAATAAATGATCTGCTCATCTTAATTTGTGGATGTGACCTTGGACTCCAAGATCACATTTCCAAATTGTTCAGCTGTAATGAGACTGATTTTTTTTTTTAATGGCACACAAAAACTAGGCTCTTTTTTTCTTTTAAGGATACAGATAAAAACGGATTAATCCCCAAGCAGGAAAAAGAAATCCTCACAGAAATCACTCATTAGGAGGAGCAGTTAATGTGGGTACAAAATTTGGAATTTGAAAAGCTGCTGGGATTCATAAGCAGAGCTGTAGATGTGAATTTTCTTACTCAGGTGGGCAAGAAGTTTAATTGTCAAATAAATTTCTTAGTCACTGAGGAAGAGTCCAGATAACCTGCTCCGAGAGGTTCATGAATTTTAATGCAAACCACGATGACTCATTACAAGTAAATTTTTCAAAGTTGTAGACGAGCTTGATGGACAATCCTGACCCTGGGTTTCACACACATGTAGCCAAGCCCTTGAGAGAGGAGCTTAACTGGCATTGAGTTTCTTAGGAGTCACTACCAGCCAGGGTCTTTTGGGCAGTTGAAGTAGGTTGGTTGGTTGATAAAGCAGGAAACTAATGTTAGCCATTTCCTCTCATCTTGTCCCAGAACTGATTCACGCCATTTAGAGGGAAAAAAAAAAAAAAAAAAAACCTAGCAAAAATAAGGCAGAAAACTATGGCCCTCTTTTTTCGTTTCCCTCTTCCCTCATTTTCTGTCTTATTTCTGCTTCCTTACCCCTTAGGCGCCTGTGAAAGGATCAGATCTCACAGGACTTCCCCAGAAGTTTATCTTTGCATCCTCTGTGGCACAGGATGTCTCCTGTAAAACTCAGCTTTTTAAACACACACTACTTTGTTAGTGACCAATGTGTGCCAGCGCCTTGGGGCCGCCTCCGCTCAATGTATCTGTTCAGATAGTGATAGATTGCCAGTTTCTAAAGAGTTCTTGCTTTGGAACTTTTTATTACCTTTACTCAGGACACTGTGATGGCCAGTATAGCCCCAGGCCCCTGCATCTCTGGGAACGAAACTGAAAATAAAATAGCTTCACAGGGAAATATTTACATTACAGGGAAAGTGCATTAATCAGAGAAAAATGAGGAAGTAAAATGGATATTTTAGCAGACCTGTTGAGAAAAATACTGGGCACTTCACAGTGCTTTGGAAATAGATGATGCCGGTAATTTTACTTTTAAACAGAAAAGACACTTTGGGATTCAGGGTTTTTTTCAGTCTTTGGGCTTGCGCCCAGGATCTAACCAAAGGCCTCATACATTCTAGATTAGCATTTCTCCCTGAGCTTTACACCACCGACTTTTCAGTTTTTATTTTGGGACTGGGTCTTCCTAGGCTGCCCAGGCTGGCCTGCAAATAGTGATCATCCTGCCTCAGCATCCTGAACGGCTGGGATTACAGGGAGGTGCCACCTAACCCGGCTCAGAGTCATCTTTTTTTTTTTTCCTAAACTTCACACAAGGTATCCATTAACCAGCCGTGAATTCTCTGTTTTGTGCCTCAAGTGTCACTCAGAGAGTGGGCAAAGGGAACTGAAATTAAAAACAGTGACAAGATCTCAAAGGAAGAAGAAAGATGACAGATATGTCAATATCTGAATATCCAGACTAGAAAAATTAGCTAATCTGTATGTCACTGAAAAGACAAAAGACAAGGCTGTGTTTCTTTAAAAGAAGACCTTGGTCATCTAGAGTGAATATAAAAACCAAAAGCATTCAGATGAAATGGGTTTGATGTAGTTTAACCTGATGTTCCCGGAAATCTGTTATCTGGCCCACACTTAAGAAAATGCTGGAGTTTTTTCACCCCCGTTTTAGAGAACTGGGTCTTCAAATCAGTATTTATGGTGTTGGCATAGCTCTCCAAGTCCTATCAGGTGTTCTGTCACCACATCAGATGAGTTGCTGCCTTTAAATCTGGGGCCATGAACCCTAATCAGTGCCGTAACGGCCATAGTGGGAGGGTGGTGGATGGAGGTAGCATGCGTGTTTCATGAACACTCAGAATTTGCAGTTTGGATACATGTCACCTGCGGTGTGCATCAGACTGTGTTTTCCGGGAGTCTGATACAGTTACTTAAAATCATCAGAAAGTAGAGGTGGCAGGGGGGTAGAGCTCAGGGGCACTGCGCCCGGCTGGCAAGTGCAGGGTCCTGAGTTCCATAATAAGAAAAATCTGGGAGGGGAAAGAATCTTTGGAGTTTGGAGGTAGCTGAATACAGCATGGCAGTAATTGGCCGGGCTTCTGTCTCAGCATCCTACGGTGGGGTAGAGCCCTGTTATCTGCCCCTGTGCTGGCATGTGGCTGCCTTCTTGCCCAGTGTGGGCACTCAGGACAGGGTAGAAGAGCCTGCCACACCTCGCAGGTTGTGTGAGATGCCTCGAGGGCCCAGAGGCATGGCGTTTGCGGTAGACACAGTGTCTGGCCCTGAGAGGCTGAGTGGTGGGGCTGATGTGTCATCCTTCCACAGAAACCCACGGACGTGTGTGCGTGAGCATGGTCCCCCACGAGCACCTTAACTTAGCCTGGGCTATTGCTTTCAACCTGCAGACATCATAAAGTCAAAGACCCAAATAGTGTGGCTTTCTTTAACATCAGCCAAGCCCTGGGTGAATTTTGGGAAGAGCAAGCGCCTGCGTTCTTTGAACCCCTGTGCTCCCTCTGAGGTTTAAGCGTGGAGATGAGGATTGCTCACATTAGTTAGTTCCAGTTACCTCGTCATCATGCTGTTCAGTCCAGGCTGGGCTCTTGAGAATCTTGGCCTATCTGCTGGGCAGGCACGTGCCAAAGAAGGCACTGAACGATCTTTCAGCCTGGGATCTTGCAGAAATGCTGGTAGAGGGCAACACGGTGACCACATGCTCTTGATTTTGGAGAAATCCCAGCCCCACACCAGCCTGTATCGTGGCACCTGGTCTGCAAATCAAGGCAGCAGCCCTGCTTGGTTCCCAGTGTGCCTTGACTCTTGCTCTCCTGGCAGCTAACTGTTCCCTTGGTTTTATTTTACCTGGATCAGTGAGACGGAGAGGCCAGACTTGGAACAGAGGCATCCAGAGCTTCCTCTTGTTACAGACCTATCAATGAGGAGCAGAGTTGTTTCCCAAACTGGAAGGTTTGGGGTAGAGGACGAGCTTCTGTTTTATATGAGTGAAAAGGCTTTGCCTGCAGGGCTCAGCATCCTTGGGATTCTGTCTTCTCACGGACCAGGACCATTTCACCCTGAAGTGTGTTCCTCTAGTTAGCCATTCGTGGCCCAGGACCACCCTTCTTGTCTTTCCAGTGATCCAGAAAGGGTGAGACTGAAACGTTAGCAGATTTTAGAGTGCAGGTATGAAATACTGTCCTTCCTTTTCTTTGTCCCAGCTTCCTGTTCCTCTTGGTGTGGCTTTATTTGGAATCTGAGCCATGCAAACTGGGTGGAATCAGAGGAGAGTGGTCATCACTTTCTTGTTTGTTATTTTTGGAACAAGTACTTTGTTCTTTTGTCTCCTTGAAAGGCTGGGTGGGAGAGGATTTTACTGGTCTCCTTTCTATGCTTGCTTGAGCTTTATTCTGATTCTTTTCTTCCGTATCATTTGAGTATCAGTTACTCTGTCATTTGTCAAGGCTAGACGGAGATTTAAAGCAATTTGTACAAAGCAGTCTCCTTCTAGAAACAGTCGTGTACATTTCCTGGTTATGGTTACTTGTCAGGTCTTTCCATGAGATGCTCAAAAAGCGATGCGTGGTTTCTATGACTGGTGTCTCCTCCAAACTCCTATACTGAACCCAGATCCCCAGTCCAGGGGTGGTAAAAAGTACACAGCTTCTTTACCACAGCTGTGTCCTTGCAGATGGGAAGACTTTTCTCTTAAGAGAATCCTGTGGAACCTGCGTGTCCTTCTGCCATGCCAGGGCCCAGCAAGGAGGTAGCAGCTATGGAGCAGACAGGGTCCTGGCGCATTGATTGCGGCTTCCCCACCTGCAGAACTGTAAGCAATTCATTTCTGTTGTCTGCAAATACCTAGTCTCAGACTCTTTATTGTAGCAGAAGCCTGAAGTAAGACAACAGCCTGTTGTAGGCAGGAGGCAAGGGGGTGTACCTCACCGAGGTGAATTTGAATATAAAATTCCCAGCATCAAGTATAAGTGCTTACCAGTGAGAAGAAATGAAGCCTTTAAGATGTCACAGTCTTTTAGGGTTTTAATGCCAAGGAGATGGGGCTGTATTTGTGTTTTCGTACCAGTATTTAAGGTTAGAAAAGTGCCCCTTTCGTTGCGAGTGATGATTTTCTTGGAAAGTAGTAACAGATGCAGTAAGAGAGGTGTGTTTTTTCGCCTGGTCTGTGCACAGGTGGGCTATCATACGAGCCCGCTGTGAGCAGAGTTTGCTGAGTAGATGTGTTGGTCTCTGCAGGACAGAAGACTACCATAATTCCCATAGGAGGAGGGGACCTTTGTTTGGGTTCACGGTTCCAGTGGCTTCAGTCCGTGGTTGCTTTCCCCAGGGTGGGGCAGTGTAAGCTGCTCCCTTCTGGTGAACAGGAAGCAGAGAGACAAGAAGGCCAAGGGTGAGCTCTCCTCCTGCACGGGCTCCAGCTCCTCAAGATCCCACTATCTCCCGAAAGCCCTGTCAGGTGGGGACCAAGGCTTCAGCACGAGAGCAGGGCACGTAAGATCTAGCCCATAACAGTAGATCACTGCCTCCCTTCCCATGCTCTTTATTCTCTGCCCTCCCTCGGTGTGACCCACGATGACCACCAGCAGTGATCAAGTTTGGGGCTTTTGTTTGACACTGTGGGTGCAGGGTTGCCCCTGACACCCATTGACTCTGTTTATTCTATGAGTTCTGGTACTTGGGCCAAGGCACACGCTCTCCTGTGCTTGATGACATTCTGTTTAAAACGTAGTGCATCTGAGACAGCCACCCAGACAGAGGAGGGAGCAGAGCAACATCTGTGTGACTCCTGGGACCCCCTAGACTGCATAGTCTGCATATGCAGGGAAAGCACAGATGCATTGGAGATTGCAGCAGACCTGGAGGCACAGGGCCAAGAGCTACACTCGACGCCCAGTGCCCCTGAGTCACCGGACCCTCTGCTCACAGGCTGCAGAGGTTCTCTTCAGTGGGGACTTTGGAGTGGTCCATGCTCTAGGCCAGCACCCTGCAGCCCGCAGAACATCCTACCAAGGCAGGCATGTCTGTGTTGCTTTCACTTAAGTTGAAGCAGAGTGCACCACAGCTTTAGAGGAGTGAATGGATTGACTTGTCTATCTGTTCTGAAAATATCATGCTAGGTGCTGGGGACAGGGGTGGGGAGATTGCAGAATGGGTCCTTCAGGTGTCCGAGAGTCCACTTGGGACTTAAAGCGTGGTCCTTGCGATGAGTCGGTAATTGCTGGTGACACACACAGTAAGGGTGTGCTGTAGGCAAGCACCACTTTGAGCAGGGGAAGAAGGGAAGGAGGGACGGTCAAAAAGATCTTGCACTGAAATTTGGACATGAAGAATCTCTACTCAGCCCGACACTTCTGTCGTTTGGCCCACAGTTCCTGATGGGTGTTATGTATGTAGCCTGTCTTTAGCTGCCTTGAGACTGTTCCCATTCTAGGTTTGTCTGATCGTTCCCACCTGGTGTTCTGTGTACATGGAGGATTGTGTGTGGTTTCTGGGTGACATCAGGATGCCTGGGCCACATGGCTCAGGACTCCTAGGAAAGCACAGATTTATTAATAGCAAATGCAAGTGCCTGACTTTGCTTTGTAAGAGATAAACTCGATAGTTTAAACTTACGTGCATCTATGCCAACGTAGTCCTGCCTCCTGCACGGAGGAGCTGTACACACGGGTTCTTGACAGTGACTGAGTAATTGATTTCTCCACCTCTCTCCCAGGGAAAGGGTGCAAGACCCTGGAAAGGAGTCCCTGATTCTCCCAGGTGCAGGCTAGTAGAACACAAAGCTGGGGGGTAGCTTGGGGAGAGATGTCCCCTTCTGCAGGTATAGACATAGTGCCACCATTTACAACAGAAGAATTAAAAGCTGTCGGACTAATATCCTGCACGACGGAAGGAAGACACATGCCTGTAACGTGATCTGGGGAGCGGTTCTTCACAGAACGCCAATTTGCAGTCAAGGGGGACTGGTAAAAATAGATCCCCGATTTCCAGGGCCTTTAGGCCATCCGTGGAGGGTAGAAGGGAACTGGAGGTCCACACAGTACCCTGGTATCGTGCCGCTGAGAGACACAGGTGCCTTCACAGTGCCTGTGCCTGGGGCCACCTTTTGACTAGGGGAACTGATTGCATTCCGCCAAGCGTGGGGCAGCGTGTCATGGGAACTCTTGAGGGGCCACCAGCCTCGGGTGACTTGAACCTTGATGAGCTTTTGGGTGTTATGTAAGAAGGGTAGAGGCAGTCAGACGCCTCCAGGGTCCGTGCCTGTCTACAGAGTGACCTGGCCTGGAGTTTCTCAAGCGTCCAAAGTTCGTCAGGGGAAGTAAGGGTAGAGGCCTGTGCTTTGGAAGAGGTCGTAATAGGAGTCAGTGTGCCCCACATAGGGTGTGTGCTCACGCCCGAGCCTTTACGGAGCAAAACTCTTGGGTCGAGTTTAGTGGGTTTTGCCTAACGTGAGGAACGTGGAGCTCCCCGTGTTCACATCCCAGGGTGGTGCCAGCTCAGGCCTGTGTCATCTGGTTTTGTCACTGTCCTTGGGGTGCTGGGGGTTCGCTATGCATGTGTTACAGTTTCCATAGCTTTAGCAGAGTTTCAGGCTTTGCTCGGCTTCATTTTGTTTAAATTACTTGATCATCACTGAAACATTTTGTGAAGCTAAATTGCCGTACCGGGGCAAAAGCCAGGTACTATCGGAAAGTAGTGGACCTGTTTGGGGCCTTGTCAGGGGTCTTCAGGTCATCAGGGTCCTGCTCCTCACGCAGATGGTGGTACCCTAGCCCTGGCTTCTGCTGTGCCCGGACTTCGGTACACCAGTCTGTCTCCCTGCTCATGCACAGGAACTTCTAAAACACTCCCGAAACACACCTCTTCTCTATAAAGAAGTTACCTCAGGTGTGTCCTTGGGATGGAAAGCGAACAAGAGACTGCTACTTATATTTTGTCCCAGCCACAAATAAGCATGGCTTTCGTTAGGAAGCGAACATTTTGCTGATTTCAGTACGACCCTTAAGGACACTCTCATTTGCTTTAACATGGCATTCGTGAGATCACAAGGTCCGGGTCCTCATCCAGGTCCGGTCCTGATCGGATTTGGGATTTGGAGTTGAAGGAGCTTGTCCTGGCTGCTGAGAACCTAGTGGGAGCAACCCTGACAGCTCCACCTGGGGAGCTGGTTGGAAAAGGCCATGGAAACCAGCACTTTCTCCTCTTATTTCAGAGGACCAGCTCGGTGGCTGCTATGAGCCGTCCTGGTCCCATTCGATGAGACGCATGTCAAGTGTAGGCACAGGGGACAGCCTCAGCAGACCCTCCCGGGGCACGGTACCAATGCAGAGCTTTTGGCAAATCAGAGTTCACCTCGTTAATAATTCATGGAGAGTAGGTGTCCACAGCCTGAGCCCGCGTTAGGTTAGGATCAACCTTAGCTGTGTGTTTAAGTGACACCTGCTCCATGGTCTCCTGTCTCTCTCTGCACCCACTTGGTAGATACCCCGCCCCCAGGCCCCCAGAGTCCTGCTCGCTCCCCACCTCCTGGTTCCTGATGCATCGCAGACAAAGCCTGGTACCTCCCAGGACATGGGCTGCAGTTCTGGAGGCCAGATGTCCAAAACCAAGACGTTGGCTGGGCCAGATTCCCTCCAAAGGCCTTGTATGAGGCTTCCCCTTTGGCCCTTGGCTTCCTGCCTCCAGCGTCTGCAGGCCGCTCTCCGCTGGCAGAGCACTGGGGACGGAGCCCTGGGAGCTTGGGGCTGTCCTCTCCCCAGCCCTTGCCATCCCATTTGGAGACAGGATCCTATGAATTGCCAAAGCTCTTCTCAGACATGCCCTCCTCCTGCCTCAGCCTGCCACTGTAGCTGCAGTTACAGGCACGTCCACTGTCTCCTGCTCTCGCCATCAGGCCAGGGCCTCACTTAAATGACACACAATGACCTCAGCTCCAGGTCTGTGACTTCATCCTATCAGGGAAGACCCTTTTTCCAAACAAGCTGGTTGCAATTGGGAGGTGAGCAGAGAGCTGCTTGACTTGCCCTGAGGTCCTCTGGGCTGACCAGAGAAGGTGCAAAGCCTGACTCGGGCTGCGGAGTTGACGGCCAAGTACACAGAGATGGAGGGAGAGTTCAGGCAGGCTGGGTTAGAGGCCAGAGGAGACGGTGGGCACCCGCACCCAGCACGCGGAGCTGGGCAGCTGCTGGGAAGGGTCCCAAAGGAAGGTCAGCCATCGGGACTTGTGCCCCGCACCTTGAGAAGATGGTGGCTGTTCTTCTCCTCCTCCTCCTCCTCCTCTTCTCCTCCTCCTTTTCTTCTCTTCCTCCTCCTCTTCCTCTTCTTCCTCTTCTTGCTTTTTCTTCTCTTTCTCTTCCTCCACTTCCTATTCTTCTTCCTCCTTCTCCTTCCCTTCCCCTGGGATATTCTTGGATGAGAATCCTCTCCATGGGGATACTCTGTGCTAAACATTACACCCCCAGTTTTCTTCCTATAAAGATTTCTCCACTGCCAGGTGATGTCCGTCATACCCAAGGGACAGGAGGGCTTGGTAGAAAAGACAATTGGGTGGGATCCTCCTTGGCCTTGGGCAGAGTTGGTCCTAGGCCTGTGCTATATCCAGTCAATTCACTGCCTGCAGAGGTCCCAGCTGCCGGCTCAGCAGGTGCAGGGCTCCAGGCTTCTTTCTGGGAGGGATGTGGAATGCTGGGTACATAGCGGACCCTCACTCTCCAGGGTTGAAGGCGAATTCCACGCCAAACCTTGGTTCCGCAGCCTGCTCCGGGTGCCTTAGCCCTTGGCATGCCGCCGCCCCGGTGCACACCTTGACAGGAAAGCAGCACTGCAGGAACACCTGTGTGAGCATGTGCACAAACACTGGCGCCCCGACAGAGCCCCAGCAGCTGGCCCCCGTCGCTCCAGCCCTCCTTTCAGGGTGCTGCGGCGAGTGTGAGATTGTCACCCACAAGGAAGCTCTCGGGTTCTGTGTGCCCTGTGATCTGCAGGTGTCATTCATTACATGTCGTTAATGAATGCTGAGAGGGTACTGGGGATATGCTGCCCCTTCCCGTGTCCCTGTATCCTCTCATTACGTCCGGAGTTGCAGCTGTCAGCACAGCCAAGGGCAAGCTGGGGATTTGCATATATATTCATACAGAGCCACCTCTATATTCCTATGCGTGGACATGCGTTTTCGCCAATTCATGCATGGATCACTTGGGTCCGTGGCTTCATCTGATCATGTCATTCATCAGAGTGCAAGCTAGAGTGTAAACAAAGGAGGCCCACAACTCATGTCCACAGGGCGTGCCTGGCTAGTTAGGACTCACATTTCCCTAGATGGAGATATCAGAAGAGGAAATACCCACAGCCGTATTCAAAAAACTTTCCTGTACCTGCCGTGGGCTTTCTCCTGGCTGTTCCTGACCGCCTCCGGTCTGTGATGGGAAATCCCATTTGGGGACCAGCTTGGCACTCCACATACACAATTCCATTCCCCGGCACCGAGGCTCCTACCAGGGTCCCTGGGTTCTGGCCCTTTTGCGTGCTCTACTCTGCTGAGAAGCTCTGACCTGCACGAGAGCTGGTGTGGCAGATTACCAGCCCTGAGGCCACTGGTGGGGCTTCTCATGTTCTCAGTTTACTCCTGTTCGCTTTGGGTTTTTAAAAAGATATAAAGCACAAGTTGAAGATTCAAAACTCTCCCCTTTAGAGCTGGGGTTTAGCTCAACAGTATGCGTGCATGCCTGGCAAACCCGAAGTTGAGTTCCATCCTCATAACCCTCCCCCAAAAAAACTCCCCTTTTAACTTCTACTTCTTGCTTATCGTCCTTGCAAACTTATGCTGCGTTAGCAGGCGTCTTCAAGAGGCTGTAACTGGAAACATCCTTAGTCTATTGGGCCACACCTGTAAAGCTTGTGTACTGTTTTCCCGTTAGCCCCACAATAGCTTTCTGTCTGTGTGGCACAGATCTGAAGAGGATGGGTTTATTTACACAGGCTCTCATCTTTGGGATTTCCAGTGCTTCCGTGGTTGGCCCGTGAGGGTGAGAGTGTATGGGGGTGCAGAGCCAATCACACCACAGCCACGATGCAAATGAGGAAGCAGAAAGACTGGGGGTCCCTTATCCACTCCAGG